AGCAATATAAATAAATATGTATTTATTTTTTAAATTTATTTCATTTTTATTTTTATGCTTTAAATAAACAAAATATAATAATTTTTTAAAGATATTTGCCATATTTCTGGTCATGATTTTCACCCTCTGGGCAAGAAGAGTGGGGTAATGGAAATGGAAAAGGCACATGCTGGCCAAATTTGACTCTTTTAAAAAGCTTCCTGGGGCCAGCCCCGTGGCTGAGTGGTCAAGTTCTTGCGTTCTGCTTGGGCGGCCCAGAGTTTTGCTGGTTCAGATCCTGGGCGTGGACATGGCACCGCTCATCGAGCCATGCTGAGGCGGCATCCCACATGCCACAACTAGAAGGACCCACAACTAAAAATACACAACTATATACCAAGGGTCTTTGGGGAGAAAAAGGAGAAATAAAATCTTTAAAAAAAAGAAAAGTTTTCTGAGAAGCCCACTCAGAATCTTTGACTTACACCTCATCACCCAGGAGGAGGTCACGTGGCAACTCTTAGCTGCAAGGGAATCTGGGTAAATGAGTGTTTTAGCTGAGTATACTGTCACCACAGTTCTTTTGAAAGGAAGGAGAGAACAGATACTGGGAAGACAGCTAAGAGAGTTTTCTACAATCCTCAGAAACAAACAGACAAACGAAAAAAAAAAACAGAAAAACCTCTGAAAATGTCACAGCTGAGAGGAGCTAAGAGGACATCATGACTGAATCTAATGCTGTATCCTGGTGGAAACCTGGAACTGAGAAAGGATATTAGGTAAAAGCTAAGAAAATATGAATGAAGTATGGACTTCAGTTAATAATAATGTATATGTATAATAATAATAATGATAATAATGATGTGCAGTAGTATGACAGTGTATCAATATTGGTTTGTTAATTGTGACAAATGTACCATAGCAACATAAGATGTTAACAATAGGGGAGCTGTCTGTGGAGATATGTAGGAACTCTGTACTACCTTTGCAATTTTTCTATAAATCTAAAACTGTTCCAAAATTTTTTAAAAAAACTTTTAAAAAGCAAATCAAACAAATACTCTGATGTCATTTTTATTTCTTCCACTTTGAAGTTGTGAAAACACAGACTCTGAAAAGTTTGAGAGGCTTACCAAGGTCAAACAACAATTGAGAAGCAGAACTGTGCCTTGAGTCCAGTCTCATTGTGCTCTAATGCTGATGTAGGAGCTACTTTCCTGAGAAGCATCCCCCTGGAGGGTCGGCAAGCTTTAATAGAATTGCTGGAGTCCCCAGGGGAGGAGCTCATTTTTCTCGTATGATGCCCGTAGTGTTTTAGGTGGCAAAAGACACACAGAATCTCAGGAATGGATGCTAGGCAACGCGAGGAAAGCCCAGCTGTGGTAATTTATAAAAGAAATGAGCATTTACAACAACAAAGCTCAGAGCGCTTAAAGCATACTGCGTGCTATTAGCTGTTTGCTAAGACCATAAACTCCGTGAGAAGTCTGAAATTCCGACTGTGACTTACAACCCCAAGAGGAGCCACAACACTTATTACGTGTCAGAGGTACTTAGAAATGTTCATTGATTGAATACATTCATCTTACACATCATGATCGGTAAATCAAACATTGAAATATACTTTAAGAGCAAACCCAGACTCAAGTCCAAAGACCACATTTTCTATCTGCCATCCCTCACACTCAGGTTTCGTTGGCCTTCTCTCTTTCTCATACACTGAGGCAGTTTGCTGCCACATTATAAATAAAATGAACTTATGATTTTTTCAGAAAATGTGCCCTCATATTCTTTTACTTTCTGCAAAAAGCCAGGAAATCAATTTTATTCTGTGCCTCAGAGCATCAAGGCTTCCTCTTGGGACACTGCCTGCCCGAAGTGGCTGCCCTCTGATGCCTCTCTCTGGCCATTCCTGTGGAAAAGAGTAACTTTTTCCATGGATCCTATCAACAATCATTTTATGACGACTCATTCTGGGCCAGGCTGCACACTAGGCATTAGAAATGCACTGGTGAAAAAGACACAGCTTCTGCTTCACAGAATGCAGATTTTGCAGGGCAAACACATCCTTCACAGATGATACACAAATAATGACAGAAGTACTGCTGTACTGCCATGGGGAGGGGTCCTAAGGAGAGCTGTGGGGCTGGGGGGGTGGGCAGTGAAATAGGCTAGGGGATTGCACATTTAGGGAGCACCTAAATAAAAACCTCTCTCTCCTGTGCCTAAGAGTAAATGCAATTGAGAGACATACAAGTCGGGAAAAAGAATTTTAAAAATCATGTTAAATAATAAAAACTTCTAAAACTCCAGGCCTAAACACTACATTTACAGTTCAGTGTTTCAGTGGAGAGAGCAGAGCAGCTGTGTGGCTTCTGCAGAGAGGTAAATCCAGACAGACAGAGGCAAAAAGAATGATGGAGCCACAGATGCGCGAGTCTTCTCTCCGCTTCACCGATCAGATAAGTACATGCTTGTCTCCTAGGACAGGATGAGTGAGGCAACAGAGAAGATGAAAACATCATTCTAGAGAATGAAAAATGAGGAGGTCAGGGAAGGAAAGATCCACTGGAGCAAGTCACAGATATGCTGTGCCATGGAGGGAATATGGTAGTTTTAGAGACCAATGCGGAGTGAGATCAGATCACACAAGGTTTTCAGGTCCTAAGAATTTTTTCCCTTGTATCCTAAACGTAAATAAAATTTATGATTTGGGAAGTGGGTGTCCGTCTATCAGATTTGCATTATAGAAGTTGTCCTTTGGCCGGGCCAGCCTGGTGGCGTAGCGGTTAAGTTTGCATATTCCGCTTCGGTGGCCCGGGGTTCACTGGTTTGGATGCTGGGTGTGGATGTACACACCACTTGGCAAGCCATGCTGTGGTAGGCGTCTCAAATATAAAGTGAAGGAAGATGGGCACAGATGTTAGCTCAGGGCCAGTATTCCTCAGCAAAAGAGGAGGATTGGTGGCAGATGTTAGCTCAGGGCTAATCTTCCCCAAAAAAAAAAAAAATCATTCTTTGGTAAAAGAATAGAAAAATTTGACTTTCTTCAAAGGTCCAATGAGAAATGATGGTGGTTTGTACCAGAAAGATGATTGTGAAAATCAAGAAAATTTGTCAGACTTAAAAATTATTTGCAGAGGAAACATAAAGCCTAGTTTATTGGCTGTAGGTAGGGTGCTGAGATCAAGGAAAGTATTAAGGATGATGCCCAAGATTCTAGTCTAAGCAAGAAGGTGAGTGGTGGTTCCATTTACCGAAACAGAGACCACTGGATGAAGGTGGGGGAAGGTGTGAGCTTTGCTTTTGACTGTTTCATTTTAAGTGATTTATGATATCCAAGGAGGACCAAAGGCAGGCAATGAGTTATACACATCAGGATCTTGGAAGAGTGAGTGCTGCTTCTTGCTATTACTAATTTCTGGGTTGCCTTTCCATCTTCTATTTGGCTCCTCTGCTTTTTCATCACCTGTATAATTAAATCAATGTATTAAGCTTTCTTTAATGAAAATATTTATAGTGATATCTGTCTTTATGACTGAAGTTCTGGTTTGAGCACAGAGGTGTTCCCACAAAAGAGCCTGAGGTGGAGTGGGAAAAGCCAGGAAAAGATGCTGAAAAAGTCCAAAAGGAGAATGAAAACCTTAAGCGTTTGGTGTCATGACAGCTAAGAGAAAGTGCTATTTCAGGAAGGGAATAGGCAAATGTATTAAATGCTGTGGAGGAACGAAAGCCTCCTGAATTTGGAAACTTGGGTGTCATTGGTGAATTTAGCACCGGCAGGTCTAGAACAATGGTGAGTGTAGAAGCCAGATTTAGACTGAAGAAGGGCATGGAAGAGAAGGAAAGAGGAAGAGTATGTTTATACAACTATTTTAGTTTGGCTTTAAAAGGAGAGGGAGTAAGAGAGGTTGAGTTTGAGGGAGAGATTGAGAAAGAGACTGAGAGAGAGAAAGAGGGAGAGTGAGCAGTGTATGGTGTCTGGAGTGGGTTCTTTTGGGTATATTGGTATTTGGTTTATTTCAGTTAGTTTGGTTTTTTGGTTTGATGACTGATTAGTTTTCCGTTTGCTGCCATGAAAAATTACCACAAATTTAAACTGACACACTACCACAAGCTTAAACAACACAGATTGATTACGTTACAGTTTTGCAGGTCAGATCTCTGACACAGGTCTCACCCGGCTAAAATCAGGTGCCTGCAGGGCTGCATTCCTTTCTGTAGGCTCTGGGTAGGATCTGTTCCTTGCCTTTTGCGGCTTCTAGAGGCCACTTGTATTCTTTGGCTCATGGTTCCCTTCCTCCATTTTCAAAGTCAGCAAAGACAAGTTGAGTTTTTCCCACAATATATCACTCTGACCACTTCTGCTTTCCTTGTCCACTTTCAAGAACGCTTGCGATTACACTGGGCTCAACTGGGTAATCTAGGATAATCTCCCTATTTCAAGGTGAGCTAATTAGTAAATTTAATTCCATCTGCCATGTAACTTAATCTATTCACAAGTTTCAGGGATTAAGATGTGGCTATTTTCAGGGGGCCATTATTCTGCCTACCACAAAAAATGTTTATATGCCAGATACAAAAATATAAACATTAGTGGGTCATTAAAAGAAAGAGGTTAAAAATATGAGAAAGGAAATAATTACAGGGAAAGGCCTCCCTCATCTGAAAAATGACCCACTGCCTACTAGGAAACAATTTGTAAGCATAAGGAGGAAAGAAAGATCTCGTGTATTGGTTTCTCTTTTCTTCAAGAAGCATGGAAGTCAAGCCATTGACTGAAGGAGACAAGGTGGAAGGGAAGTGGAGAAGATATGGAGCCGTCATTGAGGAGAAGTGCAAGAGAAAGAGAAACAGCTCCAGAAACAGAAGTTTGCTAAATGTCAAATAGCTAATTCTGATCAAACACCACAACCAGAATAATAACTTTACAAACTCCTTTTTTAAGTTCAACACTTACTTTTAATAAAGACCAACCTAAGTTACACACAAAGGTCAACTTAATTTTGAGAATTGCTGATACAAGAGTTACCTTTCTAGAGAAAGTTAACTGGCATTAGAGGGGCATAAATGATGCCACATAATTATAAAACTGAAATAAACCAAAAAAAAATAAACAGAAATGTGTACAGGAGGAGAAAGCATGGAAAAGGCAAAGACTCAGGTTTCATTTTAAATTGTTACTGTGTCTGAGCAATTTATGATCCAGAGATCTGAGTATCCTGAAATAGCATAGAAATACTTTCCATGGGAATCCAAGAAAACGTGCCAGAATAGAAGCTTCCCTTTTGTCTCTCCTTATTTGCTCTCTCCAGCACTCTCCCCCTTGTCCTGCTGAATTGGTCACTCTACTCTTCATTTTCAGTAATGGTTACAGCCCAGTTAATTGTGAAAGCTTGAAAGCAATGACTGCAGTCTTGATCACTGACATGGATTTTGCCTAAAAACCCGTGTCTGTAAAACAGGCTTGGCCTCAAATCCTCATAAATGGCTTGAACAACACGAGCTGTGCGCCACTGAATCTTTCATCGGGGAAGAATTCATTGTTTCAATACCAGAAACCTGAGAAGGGGAAGGGAGAGAGAAAAGAAGGTATTTAACAGAAGGCTGACAAAAGTTCCTTTGATTCAGTTTCTGCTGACACCCTGGGCAAGATGTGCTTGTGTGAGATAGATCACAAAACGCATTAAGAGATATTATGCTGTACACTCCAATTAGCATCACCGGTATCCTTTGCTAGCTCACTGTCCAAAGAATTAATTTTACTGCTTCCAGAATTTTGAACAAACTCATATAATCCTTCAAGCAGATGTATGAGACATTAAAAACCACAATTACATTACTTCAAAGCCATAATTAAAAAGTTTGGTCTTAGTTCCAGGCCTACCATTGATTTCTAAGAGAAACACACTTCAAATCTGATATAAGCCCTAATAAATTACCAGCTTTGAACAAAATAAGTCTAGCTTCCCATAAAGAATAAAAGAGGGTTTTATTGTGGGAAAAGGGGAAGACTAAATGATGGCAAATTTGTATTGCGTTTTTATAACCACTTGGGTTTGAAGTCAAATATAATTTGACATTTTATTGATATTTCTAGGGTTTAAAGCTGACAAGAAGTACATTAAATTTTACCATGTAAATCTGATATGACAATAAAAAGCTTTTCGCTCTTCTCATTGGAATTGTTGCAGTAAAATGAAATAAGGAATATTATCAAGAAAATGAATTCTTTTTTCCTCCAAAACCTTTTTTGGAAGAAGCTCTGAGCTGTCAGGAGTTAATGTGTCCCGTTTTCTACAGAATTAGACTTTTCCCCCCAGGTGGTGATTCTCTCTCAACACTTGCAAGTAAGGCCCCAAGATATGCTTTAAACCTGGTTTTCTATTGTTCTTCTGATAATAGTAATAAGTGATTGTAGCAAACTGCATTATTTTCCTAGGACTGCTGCAACAAAATCATAAACTGGGTGGTTTGAAACAACAGAAATGTATTGTCTTACAGTTCTGGAGTCTAGAAGTTCGAAATGAAGGTGTTGGCACAGTTGAGCTCCCTCTGATACCTGAAGAAACCCTCCCTTGCTTATTTCCAGCCTCTGGTGGATTGCCAGCATTCTTTGGTGTCCCTTGGCTTGCATCTGTAAACGCCAATCATTGCCTTGGCTGTCATATTGCATTCTCCCTGTGTGTTTCTGTTTTCACATGGCCATTTTTACAAGGCCCCCAGTCTCACTTGAGTAGGGGACCACCCTAGTCTAGTATGACCTCCTCTCAACTAACCACATCTGCAGAGACCCTATGTCCAAACAAGGCCATATTCTGAGATACCAGGGATTGGGACCTCAACATATGTCTTGTGGGGGGATACAGTTTCACCATTATCACAATTTTTACTGAAAATCAACAATGCAGAAAATTCAACTGCCATCACAGCACACAAATATGGCTCACAGAGAAGTCTCTGCACTAAACATGTGTTGTTGTCAAGATGTTTACAGGGGCTGGCCCCATGGCCGAGTGGTTAAGTTCGTGCGCTCCACTTCGGTGGCCCAGGGTTTCACTGGTTCATATCCTGGGCATGGACATGGCATTGCTCATCGAGCCATGCTGGGGCGGCATCCCACATGCCACAACTAGAAGGATTCACAACTGAAAACACACAACTCTGTACCGGGGGGCTTTGGGAGAAAAAGGAAAAATAAAATCTTTAAAAAAAGAAAAAAGATGTTTCCAGAAAGTTATACTTACTAAAAGCAGAACCCATGTTTTATCTTGCATGGTGTTCATATCCTGTCACACAGCCATTCATTTGATGCCACACCAAAAACATCATTTGACATTGATGAAATTAAACATCAAGTAGGAAGGCAATGCAATATACTCAGCAGCAGTCTCGCCCAGAATTGGCCAGGATGCAAGACCTAGAAGGATTGAGCGGGATCAAAAGTTGCACTTATTTCTGAGTGCAAAGGAATACCACAGCCCTTTCAACAAGAACATCAAGAACCCCTCTATCCAGATGATACGCAGGACCCTCAATGAAATTTGACTTTCAGATGAGCAGCAGTCTTAATATAAAAATATTCTGTTTAATATTTATCTAAAATTAAAATTTACCTGGTACACTGTGTTTTTTCTTCCTAAATCAGGCAACTGTATTCAGGATGCCATTATTGACTATTAAGTGTTTTTCAGCCATTTTCCTGGTGTCTGTGTGGAGCATGGTTGGGGGCAAGGGAAGGGGGCACATGGAGGAATAAGCGTTAATTAGGTTCACTCATCTTTTGCAATCACTGCAAAGGTCACACATTTACCAAAGTTAAGGGTAGAAATATAAATGTGTGTGTGTGTGTGTGTGTGTTGTTACATGCTGTCAAGTTAGCTCCAACTCCTGGCAACCCTATGAATGAGTGATGTCCACAGTGTCCTGACCTCAACAGCCCTACTCACCTCCTGTAGGCTCATGCTTATGACTTCCTTTATGGAAGCAATCCATCTCATATTTGGTCTTCTTTTCCTGCTGCATTCTACTTTTCCTAGCATCTTTGTCTTTTCCAAAGAATCCTGCCTTCTTGTGATGTGCCCAAAGTAAGACAGCCTCAGTTTCATACAAATACACACATACACACATTTATAATGTGTGAATATGTATATGTACAATATACGTATTTTAATATTATGAATTTGTATGTATACATATAAATGTACGATGTGTGAGTATATGTGTATATTATATATAGTACTGAATAGTGCTCCCCAAATGCTCTGTGCTGAAGCCCTAACCCCCAGGGTGACTATATTTGGAGATAGGGCATTTAAGAAGGTAATCAAGGCTAAAGAAGGTCCTAAGGGTGGGGTCCTAATCCCATATGACTGGTGTCCTTAGAAGAAGAGACATCAGAGAGCTTTTTCACTCTCTATGTGAAAACACAATGAGGAAGGAGTCATTTGCAAACCAGGGAGAGCGGTCTTACTAGAAACACACCCTGCTAGTACCTGATCTTGGACTTCTAGCTTCCAGAACTGTGAGAAAATAAATGTCTGTTGTGGTATATGTATGTGCATACACACACACACACACACACACACACACACATATATATATATAAAACACACGTGTGTGTGTGTGTATATATAAATGCATGTGTGAGCATGTGGTTGGTATGACCAAGAAGAAGTTCAGTAGTCCTCTGAAGTAAATGGATATTTATTCTCAACATTTTTAGTAACCATCAGAAAGATACTTCTGGAAATTTTTCAAAAAATTACTTCTAAATACAATGTTTTAAGCTTAAAAAGTGCTTATTGATAAACAACAAGGTCAGTTTCTAATGTCCATTTGGAGTCACCTGTTCTGTATGGGTATTTCTTATAGTTAAGGACTTACCTTTCTGAATGCATTAGAATACATATATATTTATAATAAATATATATATATCTTTGGAAAATATATGTGATAAATATATGTATCTTTGTAAAATGTACATATCTTTATTTTGTCTCCTTACTATGAATTTTGTGTTTACTTCACTTATGAAATCTGTAACAATATGCATTAAATAGAATGTACACTGGAATAAATTTATGAAGAGCGGCTGGCCCGGTGGCTCAGTGGTTCAGTTTGCAAGTTCCACTTCGGTGGGCCAGGGTTCACTGGTTCAGATCCCAGGTGCAGACATGGCACCATGCTGTGGTAAGCATCCCATATATAAAGTAGAGGAAGATGGGCACGGATGTTAGCTCAGAGCCAGTCTTCCTCAGCAAAAAGAGGAGGATTGGCAGCAGATGTTAGCTCAGGGCTAATCTTCCTCAAAAAAAATAAATAAAAAAAACAATTTAAAGAAGAATTAATTTGCATATCTAACTGGAAAGACAGAGTATAGAGAAGATATGATTAAGCAGTTCTATAATAGGGACAATAAGGACCTACTCTCCTACCAGCCTCCACCCAGTCATCATAAAATGACTCTCCACAATTTCTGTAAGCATGGGCTTCTTCTTCCACAAACCAAGAGACAGACAGAGGGTTCCAGCATCCCTCTCAAAAAAGTGAGGAAACTCCCTTCCCCAGAAGACTTCAACAAACATCGTTCAAACTTAATAGTCTACCTTTGTACACATGCTTTGGACTGAACTGATAACTGTGGCTAAGGGATTGGATTATCCAATTAGTTTAAACCTGAGCCAAGTGCCTTGCCCTACAGCCCTAGATACAGAAAAACATTCAGCTTTGCCCAATAGCAAGAACTACATTGGTAAATTACGTGTCCTGGTAATTCACAGCCTTCCTGAGGAGACATACTGCAATGCTTTTATTTACCAAGATTTCATTATGAAACTTTTCAAACATAAAGAAAATTTGAAAGAATTATATAATGAACATTCATGTGCCCATCACGGAGATTCTACAATTGACAATTTGTTATATTTGCTTTATCACATATGTAGCCATCTATCCTTTGCATTAGGTTTTGATGATCATATAAAGGTATTGGTGCTTACAAAATCCAACATATTTCTAAAGTCAATTACATTTGTATGAGCTTGTAACGCATTTGTTCTCAAACTCCTTTCACAAGCTAAGTGAAATTTGATCATTGAGCTACACATTTTGCACTCAGAGCTTAGAATTTTAAACCTCTAGAGGAGTAGTTTTTAGCACTGACATTCTGATGCTGATAGTGATTCATGTTTGGATAACTCTCCTCCAAATCAAAAGATTCATTGTACGTCTTTCCATTTGCATCAATTTTCTTTGATTGTGAACTTAATATACCCATGCTTTAAAAGGCATCTAAACCTATTACAGCTTCTAATTTCTCAAGGTTCTGCTTCTACAAAACTTGATCACTTTTACTGATTCCAACGGGTTTTATACATTTGTTCTTTCAAGCTCAATTCAATTATCACCTCCCTTCATGGTGTTCCCAGACTCCAACATTTAGCCTTAGGCTAATTTGTCAACCTCAGTGTAATTGTACATTTCTTTATGATGTCATAATTATAATTATTTGTTTACAAGCCCGTCTCCCTGACCAGAGCATTTTTATTCTCAAGCTCCAGTTTTGTGGTTTCTGTCCTGCAGTGAGCAGTCCATAAGGATTTGTAGAATTCAATTTAAATCAAGAGCTATATATTGGACCTGGGATTTTTCAATACTTGAAACTAACAAGAAGGAACACTTCATATGTAACTACTTCTAAAAATCGCCAATAGATGCTTCAGAAATCAAAATCAGTTTGGCAAAATACTGGCTTCTCTGTTATAAATAGCGCTCTTCCTAAAATCGTGTAACAGAAAATCAGCCTAGGTATTATACCCATGTTGGAGAGGAAAAACTTTCCTCTACCCTTCAAGGTTCTTTTGGTTAGTCTAATAGTTAAATTGACACAAGGCAGATTAACAAGAGGAAAAAAAAATAATTTCATGTGTTCAGAGGTCTCATAGATATGAGACCTCCTGGCAGTCAGGCAATTGAGGATTATATGCTACTAGGAGCTAAGGAGAAGTGGGTAGGAATCTGGGACTTCAAAAGAGGAGGAAGACAATTCACAGGGAAGAGCGAATGTTTGCTAAACAAATGTTTGCCCTGCCATGCAGAGACAAAGGGACACACAGAGTAAAGTGAACGAACAGGCCTTGCTAAGTTTCGCTCAGGTTACCACATCCAGCTCAATTTCTTTGTAGTTATCTGTGGTGATTGCTCTCTTCCTGGCTTAGGCCCTCTATCTAAGTTTTTTTAGAATTTAAAAATAATCAGCCTAAAATAATTCTGATGCCAGAGACATATTTTTGGGTGGCAAATTTTGCTCCCCTATGCCTGTTTTATGAGCCATAAATAGCATTTAGAATAACTAGTCAACATGCAAAAATGGCTGGCACTAAGCTAAAGGGTTCAAGTTCACGCTCTGCTCCTTTCTAGCTGTAAGACTTTGGACAAATCACTGAAACTTTTACCACTTGGTTTCCTCATCTGTAAATAAAGACAATATGAGTACCTATTTCATACGGTTGTGGTATTAAATAAGTTAATTCACATAAAGTTTACAGTACCTTACACATAATGTTCCCAGGAGATACTGATTTTTAAAAGAAAAATTGTAGTAGACAATATCTTCTGCTTAAATAATATCCAAACCTTCCCACTCTCATTTTCCTTTTAACAAAATCCAGATTTATTCAGGTGGCTAGAGGGATCCCTTGAACTTAGGGTGGTAGGATTCCATCACAGTCCCAAGAAATAAACCATGATGCAGTAATTCAGCTATATTACTTTGCTAACACTTGACCTGTGACTGATGTAAGAGTGGCCAATGAAGGTAAGTGGGAGACTATGTGTGGGGCATCTAGAACAGGTTTTTCTTACCTATTAAAATGGATAGATAGGACTGGCTTGGCCCTCTCTCTTTCTTCTTGTCTATATTGCTAAGGGAAGCAACTATATGGTCACCAGCAAGAGGTCAGAAAGAGGACAAAAGCCAGCATACCAAGAAAGGCAGAGAAGATGGATAGAGCTTTAGTCTATGACGACATCCCTGAGCCACTGTAATAACACCTGATTATCTACCTCTAGACTTCTTGTTATGAGTGAAAGATACCTGTTCTTTTTTAATCACTGGAGTTTTCCAGTATTCTCAGTCAACACAATCCAGCTGGTACAACAATGCAGTATAGCATAGCTTGACGTGGGACTTTCTGTGTGGTATACATATAATATTAACTTTGTGCACAATAACAACATCCCAATGATGAGAAAAAAAGCTAGAGTAGTAAATACCATGTTTTAAATGCTTTGTTTTGTTAGAGGTTCATGGGTCACCGCGAGTTTAGTCCATATATGGGTGTGTTAACTCTCCCACTTCAGATAAAAGTTGCATCATCAATCTTAAAGCACTACTTTTTCTTAACTTGGCCTTTAACT